GATACTAGCAAACAAAAATGTTTATATCTCAGAAACGGTTGACCTTTGGACCTATGTTTACTCAAGCTTTTTTACTCAGTACAGTGTTCCCTATACACCATATAAGTATTGAATACTTTTTTTTGAACACCCCGTATAGGATGTGTGAAATAATACGTCGTAACAGAGATAAGATAATAAAAGGTTTTCCAAAGAGTGTGGCTCTAGCAATGGTTCCGAATTCAATTGAGACTTGGCGAGTGTGGCAAAAGCATCAAAAGAATTTGTTTTGTGATTTTGTGTTCGACCCGTAACAAACCAGGTGGAAGACATGAGACGACGTATTATTGTGATACATGCCCAGATAAACCACGAATGCATCTTGGTTAATACTTTAGAACGTATCGTGAATAGTTCGTAACGCTTTATAACGTAATATATACATAGTTTTAAAGATGTAAATATAGATAAACAATCGAAGTATAACGTTTTTAAAAGATAATTTGTATATAAGATCATTTTATTGTATCACGTAAGTCACTCAACGCATTCGCGAAAATCGCCTTGTCCTGCTACCTCATCCGGCTTAAAAAGTCGTCGTCTGCAAAGGGTTAATTAGTAGACTAGGGGAGGTTTTTGCTTCACTCGCTGAATTTCGAGGTAGGTAGTAATAAAATGATGTGTTATATTTCACCTAGAAAAGGCAGAGTCCGTGCTCTTTTCCATGCTCTTCCTCCAGCTCTCCCTCCTGAACGTTGTATTGTATTTGTCTCTTCTGACGTTCACTCCACCCCCGACCGCGGCTCCTACCCTCTCTATTGGCCGATAGAAGTTCACGCAGATCCCGTAGCGAGTCTTCCCTGCGATAAAATAAATAGAATGTTTCAACAATGCACTTGAAACGCACCGTAAGTGGATTCAAAATTTTTCTTTCCATTCAATTTAATCCAACGCCCAAAAACTCTTGAGCGGAAATGAAAGAAGGAAAGGGTTGTGAAATATTGTTTCGTGGAGTGACTCATTAAGAAAATGTTCATGACTGAGGCTACCAATAGAAAAGTCCTAGAACAATATTGTTTCATCTAATATTGAGGTAGATAACATGCTATACTCTCATCATAACATGAATTATGAAACAAGGTTTTGACAACAATTGTTGACAAATCTTTGTATTGAAAGATTAATATTGTACAATGAATAATGAACCATAGACATATATGACATGAACTTGAATAAGGAACAATTATTATATATGTATGGATATTGTGTGAAGTTGGATACAAAAATGAAAGAAAAAAACGAAATAAAAATTAACTGAGCGCTCTCTATTCACGTATACATATTGTCACCGAATCAATAAATCGTCACAAAATATTTGCATATCTTCATTTTATGTTTTTGAGTTGCGAAAGAAATCACAATCATAAATGGGGTCGCGAATGAAAAATGTTTGAGAAGCTCTGATGTAAACAAAAATTTGTATACCAGAGTCCTTGTCCGTGAGAGTGAAGGTGAAGGAGGTGGCCTCTCGCAAGGCTGTGCGTTTAGGGCCCACGCTGGTGCAACCCTCCGGTTGGCAGAAGTAAACCATGTCCAGAGGCAGTGGAAAATCTTTGTGATCCTCCACTGGATATCTCCGCAACAATTCTGGAACCTGCAACGTTGCGATGTCAGTTAATTTGAAACAACTTTTTCCTTAGCGAAAATGTTGTCCGAGGCTTCGTTGAGAAGATATTAATGGAAAACATTGACCAATCAGAGCGCGAGGATGCTGGTGGCTACCGAAGGCTACGCGTTCCGATTGGTCGAGGTTTTCTGTTAACATCTCCTCAACGAAGCCTCGGACAACATTTTCGCTAAGGAAAAAGTTGTTTCAAATCACCTCCCGAACCACCCCTTTTAAAGTGTTACAACATTTTTGGGACACCCTGTATATACCCCTGAAGGGGCGCCACGATAATCTTGCTCGGGGCGCCAATATTGCTAAAACCGCCCCTGTATGTAATTAAAAAGTAATTTTTTAACGTACAATATCAATTTTACTTACTTCAGAATACAGCTGATTATTAATTGAAATAATAATACATTGAGTCACGAATGTTCGCAGATGTTTCTTTTCGAAGTAGAGTTTTTGGTTTTACAGAAATTTATTATAAAAATGAATTGGATATGATTCTATAGAAAAATGTCTCAAGCACAAAGGGTTAAACGTTTACTATGGAGTTGCGTTAGGCGTCTATTTATTTCTGTTTACGTACCTGCACAGGCTGCCGAGAGACTGCAGGCAATCTGGCCCCCACAATGGCGAGATAATCCACCAAGCGGGGGCACAGATACTTCTTCTGCGTGTCCATAGCTGCGATTTACAGCTCTGTCACCGTTTTGTACCGTATGTACGGGTCACCTGAGCCGACGGCCTTCTATTTGGATCGCTTGCCGATCGAATCATGGCTGTATCATTCTCCGATTAGTCTTCCACATCTGGACAACCAGAAATAAATTTAAGTCGGAAATAGACTGTCGCGAATAGAACGGATTAAATTATTACGGGAATATTTATCGAGTTCGCCAGTTGGTCTCCTATGTTTTTTAAATTCTGAGACAGTTGTAGATTCAGAGGGAGTAGTATGAAACATTACGATTTACAATCACACAACCTAGTACCTTAATTCACGATAAAACATGGGCTGATGTATTAAATCCAAATTAATGAAAATTTCAGATATTGGAACGATGATTGCTGAAACACGAGACTTTAATATCGCGAGCTTCTTCTAAAACTACAATTGACCACCTCCAGAAAAAGAAGGTAGAATTTAATTGAAAAGAAAGAAACAAATCACTACATTAAGGGTGCGCAGGAGCCAGAGCCAAACTCCGAGTTGACTTCAGC